ATGTAATGTCTTTGTGTAATTAGAAATTACGACACCAGAGGCCGCCACTCTCGCACAACTAACATTATTTACGATGTTGAACTACTGCTTACTTATAGACTACTGTTTTATCAATACTCGTGAGTAAGCCCAGTTATACACATAATGGCCGACAATTTACCATAAAACATAGCTTTGAAGGAAAACTCCTTTTAGTTAACTTTTAAACGGTACCTGCAAGAAATTATACGTTACAAGATCAATTGAGATACTTTATAACAATCGGGGTTGTCCTTAATCCCTTACGTTCTTCAAATTGTCGAATTATTAATTCTTAATATCAGTAAAATAGTACCTTATATAAATGTACATGTCAAGGTTTTTCCAAGAGACTACAGCAAGTTTTTCAAAAAAGGGATAAAGAGATTCCTTCAGCATGGCCCTGGAATTGCAGGCGTTTATAGACTACAGTAACCCTTTACTAGCAAGTAGGCAGCATGCTTGTTTGTCACCTCAGTGGTATATAAAAATATAAAAAAATACTAATATTATAAAGATAATTCATATAATTCTTTAATTCTAGAATGCACCGCCTACCTATTTCTGTTTTTTTTTTATACAATTTAGAATGGCAAACAAGCTGACGGCCCACCTGATGGAAAGTGGGAACCGTCGCCTATAGACATGAGCAGTACCATGGACATAACAGAGTATACTGTTTCGCCCATGATACCCCCCATGCGTTGCCATTCCTGAGGACTAAGGTGTTACTCCTCTGTACTTTGTAAATTCACGCCATATCCCACCCTTCAAACCGAAACACAGCCATGCAAACACAACTGCTTCACGGTAGAAATACAAATGCGTAAAAAATATGGTGAAATAAAGAATCTCATACGAATCTTGAATACATTACACTTCTTTTTTGAGCACTTGTGTAATAAGCTATAGCCCACTTAATGGAAAGTGATACTCCAAAAGTTTCGAGTCTCGTCGTTCGTTTTATTGAAATCACAATTTATAATAGCTTTTATTAGGACCACATAAATTTAAAAGATTCTATTTTTTGCTTACAAATATTTAAGCCATAATTATCTTATCTATGCAATTTTCAAGTGCAACAAAGAGTATATATTTTAATTGTACCAGAAGCTAATATTATAACAAAAACATGTTCGTAGAATGTCCATAGAATTTACTAGATCACAATCGCTCGTTCCCAGCTCCTTTAAATTCTAGATTCACTTGAACTATTGATGGAAAACGGTGGGGAATGTAGGCTTTCCATCACTATCTGTCCAGGGGGCAGCCAGCCGTAGTAATGGAGCGCGCTTTGGTGCCCGACAACGAACATCCATTGTATGGAGATCGCAACGTCATAGACTATAAAATCATGCACGCAGACTGTCCACGGTCCTATATCTACAGGGTAAAGTCAAATTCGTTAGCGATACATAAAACGAATCTACCTATTCCATACAATATATTAGAACAGAAATGTCGTGTGTCAAAAAATTCAAAAACAGCAATAAACATAAACTCCCATACTCACTCAACAGCTAAATGTGCTATATTGGTGTAGAGGCTAAACCATCAACCTCGACTTACATTTCTTTTAATGTTCCCTCCTTTCACAGGATATTGATGACGTCTATTTCGCACTATAGATAGACAAAGTAACAGTTTATTATACATTTGAAAATATTTTAAATGCTTCTGCATTATGTTAGTCGTAGTGATTTTTAAAAAAAGTGGTTGAATGAAAGATTTACCAACTAACATTTATATTTACGTGGCGTAACTGGTCACACATAGCTCGAATATTAGAGAGATATGGATTATGGATTGAATCCCATCTGGTCAAGTCGCTGGAGGTTACATTTTTCAAACTGTTCATAATTTTACACTCTATTAGTTATGAAGTTAGCAAGCAACTTTTGATTCACAAAGAAAAAGACTATTTAGATTCTATTTAGAGGAAGGCCGTGACCACTCCAACATTCCAGAACATGCCAGAAAGAACATATTTCTGTGCTTATTTTGAGAGGCCAGAGGGAAATAATCTAGTAACACTCTTCGACATATAATAAGATATTGCGTAGACATATAGAATTAATTCAAGTTCAAAATTAAAATGAATCCGACACAAGAATAAACTACTTAAATTACAAAAGAAAATAACATTAATCGTGTGACATATTCTATTTTAGCGAATCAGTACAAACAGTCTCCAGATATTCACAACGGACAATAGTTTTTAATAAATACCTATATTATTACAAATGCAATAGCGTAAACAATGTGTGCTTACAATTTAAAATATGCACGTCTAGATTCCTTACGATGAAATAAACAACCGATCACTACGGAAGTTTAAAAGAATAATTTGATGTTGGTCGTAAACAGGCATAAACTTTAGATTTTTCCTATTTAAATACATAATTAAATAATATACATTAAATTATACAGAAATACTATACGGATATATTTGGATATTTACCTTCAAAGTAACTCAAAATATGGTAAAACCAGTTTATTAAATGGCAATTTATTTTAAAGTAAATTTAGTTTTGAGGAAAATCTAATAACAGTGCTAATTTTGTGTTATTCGATACATCTACATATAAATACATAACGTTATATAATTGTTTTCATAATTGTTACCACCAAACTTGAAACGACTCAGTCCATAAATAAGATATATATGATGATAATGGTATAGGACCTTCATCATCATAATGTGGCCGACTATTTTATGAAATGGTTGTATTTCATGGTATCACCAGCTAAAACTGCTTACATTGTTTAAACCTCAACTTTTGATGATATGTCAGTCCACGTTTGGCCATATCACTAATTTAAGGTTTCTATGACATTTGAATGACTTTTGTAAAATTCAAGTAATTTTGTGTCGTAACTGTAATTGTAAAACCCCATACATTGATAAATCTTGGATTATACTAGTAAATTTTAGGAATTACTGATATACGTTGATAAATATAAGGATTTCATGAAAAAAATAAGATCAAATTTGAAGCTTTCCCCAAACCTTACCTACTTTTCTGACCACGCGTAGTGCTGCTAGCACCACGCACTAGATATATCTTAATTTTATGTCTATTTTTGACATTTACCACGTCTCTGATGTAAATATAGAAAATTTTAAATTTACTGTAATTGTACATAAAACCAAACACATAACCTTTCAATAGAACACGATGAAATATTAAATGAAAAATTTACAATCTTTTTACATCCAATAGTAGTACAAATAACAATCCGATTAATTAATTAAATATATCCATTTGAAACTATTCTAATCTCATTTAGATAGAGGGTATTTCTGAAATAATTTCACCAAAATTTAGACACATTTCAATAAGTTCTATTGAAATAGAATATAACTAAAACATTAACGTCGCATTTGCGTTAAATTAAGACAATAAAAACATTTTACATAAGATATGCAGTCGATAGCGATTCCCCGCCAACGCCCGCTCGAGCGAACACAGAGTAGCCACTCGCGTAGGCAAAACAATCGCTTATTTATTCTATCTGACAGTTTAGTCTATGCACTGATGCATACATGTTGCGTTAGATATGCGGCGCCGATACCGCTGAGGTCACAACCGTTTCGCGCCAACGCCCACTGACGTCACCCGCTCTCGGGTACGAGATGGCTTTTAAAAAACAAAAATTAATTTGAACAATGACCATTAATCTTGGTAGCTTCTGATCTACAATACCATTAATTATATGAAACACTAGCGGCCTGTCCCGGCTTCGCACGGGTGGACATTTTAACAACATTTAAAAAAGTGGTTATTGTAACATAACGATAATAGTTGGACATATATTATTACGAAGTTTTTTGTAGTTATTGATATTTTGTTCAATACTGTAGAACATACTTTTGTTCTATCACCAATAGTTTCCGTAGTGCACGCGACCAAAGATATAGCATTTTTTTACACCTTGAGTTACGTTACTAAAGTTTTAGTAAGAATCCCTAATCTTTTTTAGCAATAAATATAGCTTATATTACTCAGGGTGAATGTAGCTTTCTAATGGTGAAAGAATTTTTGAAATCGGCAAAGTAGTTTTTGAATTTATTCATTATAAACATACATACACACATACAAATCTTTCCTCTTTATAACATTAGTATAGAAGTGTAGATCTAGATTATGATCAAGTGGCAAGTTAAATAATTTATAAATAGTGACGGTGCCATGGAATCCAATTACTGTTCTTTGCTCGAGCAACTTCCAATTGAAGAAATTTGTGGTAGTCGTAAATCTTTAGTCGATATAATAAGTTACCCCCTTATTCATGAAAACGTCAATTCTCTAATTAAAACTATTTTAACTGTTTTGTCTCTTTCTTTTACACTAAATTTCCTATTTGGAAGAAAGTGACAAAACAGTATAATAGATAAAAGATTTTAATTTTTATGAATAAGAAGGTTACATGTTATGAGACCCATATCATAGTTTTCATTCCAGTTGTTGAGACAACTAAGGAGGGCGAGACATGGGCAGTAACGTTTCTCTTAAAATATCTCTAAAGCCTAACTCCAGTTGCAAATCCGCCTGCCAAGCGTGGCAAGAACTGGTAACCCCCCCCCCCCCCCCCCCCGTCTGAGATGGTGGCTTATGTTCAACAGTGGACGGTTAAAGGCTGATATGAGGACGATGATGATTCCAGTTGTTATTAAAGATTATCCGTATAGAGAAACTAGGTATATGTCACGGTTTCGTACGCGTATCTTTTGTCTTCTATTACATATAAGGTTATTTCCATTTTTGAGAAATTTAAAAGTATTTTACAATTAGCTAATTTAACTATTAGCTGACAAAAAGTTGACCCGTTTTTGAAGCTCGATACTCTATCAATCTCATCTAAGGTAATAATTTAATATAATTCTCGAAACAAGATATAATTTCAAACTCCAGTATTATATATATGGGGGGAAAGGGATTGTTAGTAATGGGGTCTAATGAACCCATTGCTAGCAATACACTCTATCAGGTCGACCTCCACATGGTTCTCCCTGGAAACCATCGTGAACAATTCTTGTTGAATTCGTCACAATGGGCTAACTGACCTGCTTCATCCTCACCTATCATCCTTCACTGGTTCCCCGCCGGTGTATACCAATAGCGCGGGCGGAGTTACCATTCCATTATCACCCATTAAAAAAAAAACCTCTAGTATTATACATGACGTTGGCAGAAATGGTCGTAAAATAACTACCGACTGCCATTGAGCAAAATAAGAATAAAGAGGAAATTAATATATATTTAAATGAATGAGTATACTTTACTTACCCCCCCCCCCCGCAACTGCCGTTAAAACAAGACGTGTTTGTGTTAGCTCCATTGTTTTAAAATTAAAATCTGTGGTAAAAGTTATCATTTCTAAAATAATATTATACCAAACTAAAGAACAAAGTGAGATCTTTACGACGGACTATATTTCATCGACAAATAAGTATCGTGAGTACCGATAAATAGTGCATGAATATTTTGTAGAAGACCATTTCAACGACATACCCGTTTACAAATTGATAACAAAACAAAGGTTTGACCTTGACTCGTGGTCGCTGAAATTTCATGCAGTATATTACAATAGCGGTACTGAAGAGTGATACTATAATTCAACATTTCATTACGATTACTCGTTGGCGAAGTGGCACCACGTGCAAGTTTTAAGTAATACTCCGAGGATCGATTCTCATCAATTTTTTTTTCTTTTTGTAAAGAATTTTTGCAAGAAATTTGTGTTCGGTGGTTATTTCATTGAAATATTATTTAAGAATTTAGCTTCAGCAGTATATTTCTTTGTTTATTCATTTTTTTTATTTTTTCAACGTAATAATTGACGATGCCACTTAAGCGCACACCTCCGCCTTCACCTGCACCTCACACTGGTATTACTCAACTAGAGCTGAATGTGTCCACCACTGTCGCTCCAGACCGTCCCTCTTGTGACGCGGGCATAGCTTTAAGATTACCTCATTCGGAACAGTTACATGGTTCTTCTTCCGAACCAAATCTGAATGAGATGAAAACTACTAATGCTACACGCAAACGAAAACACTCACTTTATGATGATGAGATGTTAAATTCGTTTATAACAGAAATGAGACAAATGTTTAAAGATTTTAGGGATGAGCAAGATAGGAGGAATGAACGGTTGTGTGCTGTAGTTGAGGATCTCCGCATATCTGTTGATTTTTTGGCTCATAAATACGACTTACTCAAATCAAAAATGGACAAGTTGGAAACTGACCATAACGCAGATATGCGGTATGTAAAGACGCTGGAAGATAAGATAGAAACTCTTGAACGTAACAATAGGTCGACTTGTTTGGAAATTAGGAATATTCCAACTTCTCCTACTGAAACAAAGAATTCTCTTTTAGAGACGTTTATAAAAACTAGCGGTGTATTAAGTATACCAGTTCAACCCAGCGAAATAAAAGACATTTTTCGCATAAAAACCAAACAACAAGCTAGTAAAACCATCATAGTAGATCTAACGAGCTCTATATTGAAGGAAAAAAATATTGCAATGTACCGCAAATATAACAAGGGAAGCTCTAAATTAACTACAGAAACGCTTCATCTAAGTGGGCCAGTATCTCCTATTTATATCTCGGAAAATTTGTCTTCCAAAATGAAGAAATTGTTTTATCTGGCCAGAGAATTTGCAAAAACTAACGATTATAAATATTGCTGGGTATCCCATGGAAAAATATTTCTTCGCAAAAGTGATAATGGTTCATTGATTCCAGTAACAGATGACACCGTGTTGGAGAAAATTAATATATCAAAATGACTATGTACTCTGGTGACAGAAACAGTTTTTGCTTGCTACATATTCATGAAATATTGTAATATTTGTTTAGTCTTCTTTACTATTGTACTATGTAATTTTCTTAATAATGTATACACTAGCCTACTTTTTTATCTTCAATCATTTATAACACACACATACAATTATACACATCACTTACAATACAATATTAATCTATATTACAGATTTTCTGACATAAATAACTTTATATTCAATTTATTTCAATTAGATTTCATTCTCACTGATCCCATTCTCTGGTTTAACCATGATCCGCGTTTCTTATCCTTGGTTGTTTCCTATATCTCTTATGAATAATACTAATCAAATTAATGATGATATCGAAGAAATTTCTTTATCAGAATCACTAAGATGTTCCCCCGAGGATATTCCTATAAATTTAAAGTCGGACACAAACTCAATAAATATTTTTCATGTCAATATTCGTAGTATTAATTGTAACTTTGATAGCTTTATAACATTACTTCATAGAATAGAATTAAATATTGATATTATAATTTTAACGGAATGTTGGTTGAGCAAAACCCCTTATATTCCCATACTTTCCGGCTATGAATCCTTTAAATCTAATTTTAAAAAACAAAATGATGGTGTAGTGGTATATGTTAAAAGCGATCTTCAGTACATTGTAGAAATTCCCGAGTTTCAGGATGCAAATTGTATTATCTTAAAATATTCCAATAACCTTGCCGTCATAGCAATATATCGCTCTCCTTCATATAATAATTTAATTTCTTTTTACAAAAGTCTTGATAATACACTTAAGATGTTAAGTAACTTTAAAACTTGTGCTGTAATTGGTGACATAAATATCAACATAGCACCCACTAATACTGACTCGAATTCCGATGAATATCTAAATCTAATTGCGATGCATGGAATGCTCCCAACTCATCTTTTGCCTACGAGAGAAAACAATTGCTTAGACCATGTTATGCTGCGCTCTTTGGGTTATGCATCCACCATCATTCTTGATTCACTCATAACGGACCATGCTCCTATTTTATTCCATTGCCATACTAAAGTAAGTTCAACCTCTGCAAGGCGTTTCTCTCAACATTGTGATATCTCTGCTGTTGTAAAAGAAATAGAATCTACAGACTTTTCTCCCGTATTTGACTCTAATAATCCTGATATGTCTGCTGATCTCTTAGTTAGTATTGTATCCAACGTTGTCAAAACTCATAGTCGTAATATACAAATTTCCAGTAGAAAACGCATCATTAGACCATGGATTACTCCTGGCCTACTGAAATGTATACGACATAGAGACAAACTATACCGTAAATTTAGGAAGAATCCCAATAATGAAACTCATAAATTAATTTACACACGGTATCGTACCTTTTGTAATAATCTCTTAAAAAAAAATTAAAACGAATTTTCAACAGAATGAGATCCAAAGGGTCAAAAAGAATTCAAAGGAAACATGGAGTTTGATAAAGAGAATGGCAAATCTTCAGAAAAGACAAACTAATTCCACAAAATTATTGAAATTAAGTAATAATCCCTTATCTTCTGTTAATTCCGTTAATACATTCTTTGCTAACATTGGCAAGAATCTAGCATCCACCATTGAATCACGGTTTCACGGTAATTCTCGGATACGACATGATTCAGCTACGCCTCTACAACACAGGCATGATACCTGCAGTCCATCTTCTCCCAATTCTATGGCTTTTTTCGATGTGGATGAAGAGGAGATTGAAAATATTATCATTAATTTAAAGACCAACTGTGCTGTTGGATGGGACGGTGTTTCTACTTCAATAATTAAGTCAGCAAGACATGTAATTATTCCCATACTGAAATATGTGTTCAATTGTGCTATTAATATGGGTATTTTTCCTAACGCTTTTAAAAAAGCAATAGTACATCCAATTTTTAAAAGTGGAGATGGAGATGTTATTTCTAATTATAGACCTATTTCAGTCTTATCCGTTTTTTCAAAGATATTTGAAAAAATCCTAAACCGTAGATTAATTACATTTATTGAGAGTCGTAATATACTATCACCTAACCAATTTGGATTTAGAAATAAAAAATCTACGGAGGATGCAGTTTTAGAAGTTACTAATACAATTATTAAAGACTTTGACAATAAGAAAAAAACTGTGGGTATATTCTTAGACCTTTCTAAAGCCTTTGATACTGTCTCTATTCCTATTTTGCTTCGGAAACTAGAAAGTGTGGGTGTTAGAGGTATAGCTCTTGATATGTTCAGAAGCTATCTTACAAACCGTACTCAGTGTGTAACTATTGATGGTTATGTAAGTGAAGATGAATATATCAGTTATGGTGTTCCTCAGGGTAGTGTTTTAGGGCCTACCTTATTCTTAATTTATATCAATGATCTTTGTAACTTAACTATTCAAAACTGTAAAATAGTTACCTATGCGGATGATACAGTTCTCCTCATCAGTGGACGTACCTGGACGGAGACACAAATGCATTCAGAGAATGCACTGAGACATGTCATGGGGTGGCTTCAGTCGAACCTTCTTACACTTAATCTCTTAAAGACAAAATTTATTCCCTTCTCTATAAACAGTGTCTCTCGGCCTTCTTCCGCGTTTTCAATTCGTCCACATATTTGTCCAACTCCAACAGTTTCTAATCCTTGCAGTTGTATATCCGTGGAACGTGTTACTAGTATAAAATATCTTGGGGTAACGTTGGACGGTTCGATGACATGGAGGCAACATGTTGATTGTACTGTGTCCCGCGTAAGAAGACTGATATTCGTCTTTAAGAGGTTAAGAGGTGTCGTGGATTTTAACAACCTAAAAACTGTCTATTATGCACTGGCACAGTCTGTAATAACATACTGTATAACCTCCTGGGGTGGAGCTGTTAAAACAGTTTTGCTGAAGCTTGAACGGGCTCAAAGAGCTGTTTTGAAAGTAATGGCTAAAAAACCAATTTTATTTCCCACTATTGAACTGTATGTGCTCTGTCGGGTTTTAACTGTTCGCCAATTATTTATTTTAAATACTATGCTACGTAAGCATTCTGAACAACCGTATGAACTAAATCTGATAAAATCGAAGCGTAATTCTTATAAAATTTGTAAAGTTGAACCTCGACGCACTGCTATAGCGAGCCGTCATTATCAGCATATTAGTTCCTCTCTATATAATAGCTTAAACAAAGAATTAAAGATATATCCTTTACCTTACCATTTATGCAAAGATAAATGTTTAAAATTTCTCCAATCCTTATCTTATAATGAAACAGAAGATCTTATAAAATTTTCCGAATAAATTTATAACTTTTCTCACACCTGCATACACACACACACACAAACACACACACACACACACACACACACACACACACACACACACACACACACACATACACACACACACATATACACACACACGTACATGCACACGCTCACGCACACGCACACGTATACACACACATTATTATTATTTATTTTTTAAGTTAACATGTAGGCTACTGTTTTTTAAATTTTTACTTTTTTATTTTATTTATTGTAGTTTATAGTTATTATTTAGTATTGTGGTTGGTTAGTTGCTAGATACAAACAATTATCTTCGTTGATGTAATAACTACTATACGTTTTGTCTATTTTGGAATCCTGCTATAAGGAGGAGGGCGTTGATATTCGCGACACAGTTTTATACTTCTGCGGATATCATCGTTTTTCAATAATATTGTAACCAATGTTTTTGTTCCAAATAAATTATTATTATTATTATTATTATTATTACTTGCATTATACAATATAGGGGAATAAGCAAGACAATTAATAAATATAACGATACAGTGGAAATGTGTGTTAATTACTTTAGCCATCACTGTAACTACATATTATGACTATGTTTCGGTTTGAAGGGTGGGATATGGCAGTGAATTTACAGGGTACAGAGGAATAATACCTGAGTCCTCAGGAATGGCAACGCATGGGGGTATCAAGGGCTAAACAGTATACTCTGTTATGTTCATTGTACTACTCATGTCTATAGACGACAGTTACCACTTTCCATCAGGTGAGCCGTCAGATTGTTTGCAATTCTAAGTTAAAGTCGGTTGAAGATGTAAATAAAAAATTAACTAACCCGTCCATAAGACAGTCTGCTGCCGTCAAAAAGCAGTACAAATTAAATATTGATTAATAGATTGAATGTTTTAATTGGGTCCTAACTTCATTTAGATAGATTTACATTTCTGTTTTGCCAAGGATTGACTGGGACAGATATATTTCTATGATAATTTCAACAAAAATTTGATTATTTCTTTATTGAGTTCTATTGAAGCAGAACATCATCTCATCATTTTCTGTCCACTGCTGAACTTAGGCCTTCCTCATAGACTGTCCTAAGTCACTAACATCCACTGACTCCCTGCAGTATATTACAGGTCGTTTCTCCATCTACCCATTGACCTTTTTTTCGGGTCGGTTGTTGGTTCTTCGAGCTATGTGACCAGCCCACTTCCACTTTAGCTTGTTTATCGTCAAAACAATTTCAGTTCAATCAAATTTGTCACGTCCTCTCGGAATTGTTAAAATGGTTGGGAAATTTGTCGTCTACATGATATAGTACAGAACTTTTTTTTATTTCCGCGGCTGTTTACACTTAACATGCATGACTGGCCAGTTCTTACCACGATTACTTGTATGTACGAGTTATGCATAGTAAGTAGGTGGTGTACATCTATGGTGTAAATGAAGGCATACTCACGGTGCATTGGTCTTACTGAATGGAGGTTACATTTTTCGATCTAATAAGTGCATACAGTAGAATCCCGATTATCCGAAAATCAATTATTCGAATATTCGATTATCCGGACAAGGGCAAGACGAATTAAGTCCAATTCAGTTGTTAATAGTGAAACGCAGGGACTTGGCGGCAATGAAAAGACGTGATTCATTACGTGAAAGATTAATAACTAATTATTTTCAACCCAAACTTTAAATAACATAAGTATTACATAATCCATTATCTTT